CCTTGAAGAGAAATGGACCCTAAGTGGAAGGTACTCATTTCTTTTCTCATCCCCAATCTTCATTTCTGTAACTTGCAAGTGAAAGGAACACTTCAGAGTTCCTTGCCAAGGCAACCAGCTCAATGTCTTCACTGCATAGTTCAAAACATTATATCGTCAAGAGTTTGTGGTATGAGACATGGTCTTCCTCTAGTTTCAGTGAATGACGATCTTTCTTTAAGTTTGGTGTTTATTCCTTGTAGATATGTTTCAGGTAGGGAATTCAGTAAATATATATTCACTGTAGTAGTTATCTATTTTTTATATCAAATATCTAATCTCTCCCTTAGAGAACTATAACATCCCTACTCTTAGCTCTGTTATTGAGGTTAATCTGCCTCCACACCTGGGCTTTGGCAGGAGCTAGTCTAATCCAAAGCATGTATTTTATTTACCTCCTGATCACCAGTGATTAGTTCAGGGATTAGGATGAGCTTGAAATTGCTGAGGTCCTTAACCTGGAAAAAACAGCTAAACAATGGATCCTGCTAACATAATTTGAGCTCCAAATCAAGCTAGATCTACAAAAACCAAAATTGAGTTTTGATATGATTTTATGTATTCATTTAAATGTCATTAAATAAAAAAATAAGGCCAAATGTGAAGATCTGCTTAGGAAAACTGTACTTTTTTGCTCACTGTACTGCCACTGTTAAAATACTATCTTGGGCCAAGCCCATGATAAAATAGGAGAGGACTTTGTTAGGCACAAGCCCCAGATGCTTCTCCAGAAACAAAGGCACTGACTGGTGTCATATCCCTCCCCCACTCCTCAACATAAACACAGAGCCATCTGAGGGAAAGTCAACCAGGACAATGACTACCTAACTTGCTTACACCAAGCCACGCACCCCACCCCATGCTCTGGTGGGACTGCCCTTTTCAGTCAAGCTTGTCTCAGTCCCAGTGAGGCAGCTCCCCCTCTCCGCACCCCAAGGAGACAAGCACAAACCCCTGCCCACACCAGATCTCCCATCCAGAGAGTTCTGTTGGGCTTCAGTTCTGGTGGAGTTGGTGTCAGGTCTCATTTTGCAAGTAGATTAGAGCACACCTAGTTAAAACTCACCACATTCAGGCCAGGGACCAGACACTGCCCACAGCAGTCAAAGGCAGATCACTGGCCTGAAGGATAGCAGCCAAAACATGACAGCCGAGTGCACACAGCATATACTGCAGACACCCTGTGAAGCGCCAGGCCCTGGGCACTACATGACCTCTTCTTCATAAGGCCATTACTTTCAGGGGCAGGAGACATAACTAGCTTTTCCATCATACAGAAGAAGGCAGAGACTTAGACAAAATGCCAAGATGGAGAAATTTACCCCAAATGAAAGAACAAGATAGGGTCACAGCCAGAGATCTAAGCAAAACAGGCATAAGTAACATGCCTGATGAAGAATTTTAAAGCAATGATCATAAGGATACTCATTGGGCTTGAGAAAAGAATAGAAGACATCAGGAGACCCTTACCACAGAGATAAAAGAGTTAAAAAAAAGAATCAGAGATGAAGAATGCAATAACTGAGATTGGAAACAGGTCTGATGCAATGAAGAGCAGGCTGGAAGAAGCAGAGGAATGAATTAGTGGCCTAGGAGACAATATAATGGAAAATAATGAAGCTTCTGAACAAGAGAGAAAGAAGAATTATGCAACACAAGAATAAATTTAGGAAACCCAGTGACTCCATCAAATGTAATAATATTCATATTATAGGAATCCCAGAAGAAGAGAGGGAAAAGGAGGCAGAAAATTTATTTCAAGCAATAATAGCAGAAAACTTCCCTAATGTGGGGAAGGAAACAGACATCCATATCCAGGAGGCACAGAGAATGCCCTTCAAAATCACAAAAGCAAGCCAACACCTAGACATAATCTAATTAAATTTTCGAAATATAATGATAAAGAAAAAAATCTTAAAATAAGCAAGACAAAAGAAGTCCTTAACTTACAAGGGAAAACCCATAAGGCTGGCTGGAGATTTCTCAACAGAAACTTAGCAAGCCAGAAGAGAATGGTATGATATATTCAAAGTGCTGAATGGGAAAATCTGCAGCCAAGAATACTCTATCCAGCAAGGCTATCATTCAGAATGGAAGCAGAAATAGAGTTTCCCAGGCAAACAAAAACTAAAGGAGTTCATGACCACTAAACCAGCCCTGCAAGAAATATTAAAGGGGGAGGGGTCACCTGGGTAGCTCCATCAGTTAAGCGTCTGCCTTTGGCTCAGGTCATGGTTCCAGGGTCCTGGGATTGAGCCCCATGTCGGGCTCCCTGCTCAGCAGGGAGCCTGTTTCTCCTCTCCTGCTCCCCCTGCTTGTGCTCTCTCTCTTTCTGTCAAATAAATACACCAAATCTTAAAAAAAAAAAAGAAAGAAATATTAAAGGGAACTCTGAGTACAGAGGAGAGACCAAAAGTGATGAAGACAAGAATCAGAGAAAATATCCAGAAACAACAATAAAACAAGTAATAAAATTGCAATAAATACATATGTAGCAGTAATTATTTTGTAAATGGACTAAATGCTCCAATCAAAAAACACAGGGTGTCAGAATGGATTAATAAAAAAAAGCCATCTATATGCTGCCTACAAGAGACTTATTTTAGACATAAAGACACCTGCAGACTGAAAGTGAGGGGGTGCAGAAACATTTATCAAGCAAATGGATGTCAAGAGGAAGACGGAACCTAAATACTTATATGGGACAAACTAGACTTTTTTGTTCTTGTATTGTTTTTATCCTGCTTTCGTATTAGGGTAATACTGGCTTTAAAGAATGACTTTAAATGTCTGCCCTCCATTCCATTATTTGTAAGATTTTAATAAAGATTGTCATTTTTTTGTTTTTGTTTTTGTTTTATTTTTTTAAATGGTAGAATTCACCAATGAAACCATGTAGTCTTGGGCTTTCTTGTGCTGGGAGATTTTTGCTTCCTATTTCAACTTTCATTCTTGTTATTGGTCTAAGATTTCCTATTTTTTGGATTCAAGATTCATGATTCAATCTTGGTATCTTGTGCATTTTTAAGAATTATCTGCTTTTTTCCCAAATTATCTCCCGTTATCTGATTTGTTAGTATATAACTGCTTATAGTGATCTGTTATCACACTATGTATTTCTGTGGTATCTGCTGCATTGTTTTCTCTTCTAGTTCTCATTTTGATTTTTGAGTCTTTTTTTTCTTAGTGTAAAGCATGCCAATTTTATTTATTTTTTGAAAAACGGGTCATTACTTCCAATGTTATGTTATTGCTTATTCTGGTCTCTATTCTATTTATTTCATTTTTATTATTTGCTTTCTCTACTAAATTTGTTAAGTTTCTTCTTTTTCTAGTTTCTTGGGGTATAATTTTTTATTTCAACTTTTTTTCTTAATATAAGCATTTATAGCATAAGTTTCACTCTACCATCTGCTTTTGCTGCACCCCATAGGTTTTCAAATAGTGTTTTCTTTCTTGTTTGTTTTGATATATATGGATTTGCTGTTTGATTTCTTACTTGGCCCATTGCTTGTGCATTAGTGTGTTGTTTAATATTTACTATTATTTAATATGAAAAATACAAAATAAAATGTTGGTAGCACACACTCCAATCTCTAGGGCAGTTTATTAACCTTTTCTCTCTACAGAGATAATATCAATCAATGGTTCCTAAAAGCTGGTCTGCACAACGGGATGGGTCAGTGACAACATTCCCACCAACCCATAGCATTCTTTTCAGATAAATTCTACTGCTATATGATGGTGAGCAGAGCTCTGAGCCAAGTCCTAGGCATGAGAGGCAACTGAGGGGAAGTGCTCTGAAACTCTCTTCCTACTCTAGATAACTGGCTGGAAAATTCCCCCTAGACTTCAGGGAGTAGCAGAAGGAACTGGAGGCATGGCCATTGTTTTGTGGCTTTTAGTTGTGCCCAAGATATCCTGAACCAGTATTATGTGGCTTCCATTATAGACAGCATACCTAAATACAACTGAATTCGCAAGGAAATGATAGTGACAAAAAACAGAATCTTAACTGTTTTTTTTTAAATTTTTTTTAAGATTTTATTTAATAGAGAGAGAGAAACAGAGAGAGAGGGAACACAAGCAGGGGGAGGGGGAGAGGGAGAAGCAGGCTTCCCGCGGAACAGGAAACCTGATGCGGTGCTCGATCCCAGGTCCCTGGGATCATGACCTGAGCCGAAGACAGTAGCTTAACCAACTGAGCCATCCAGGCGCCCCAAAAACCAGAATCTTAGAACAAGTTGACATTTTAACTCTAGTCTGTGTTGAAGATTCCAAGATGGCAAACTTATATCCAGACCACAATTAAACAGTATAAATGTTATAAAATGGAAATGGATTGTAAATTTTCCACTTTTGGATTTTCAAAAGTGTATCTATCCTTCTTTGAGTATCTTAGTAGAATCCTGCCAACCTTCTGATGTGAAGGTTTGCCCTTTATTTTAACTATAGATTCCTTTTGGTGTAAGAGAAAAACATTCTTTCCTTTATATTAGAATGATAGTAGATAGTAGTATTTACTTTTGCCAAGTACATTTCAAAATTTGCTAACCTTAGCTTGGGCCCACATTCCTAATTTTTTATTACTAGTCCATGACCTTAAAAAGCTTGGAGGGGCACCCCGGTGTCTCAGTCAGTTAAGCGTCTGCCTTCAGCTTGGGTCACGATCCCAGGGTCCTGGGATCAAGCCCCACATCGGGCTCCCTGTTGCTCCCCCTGCTTGTACTCTCTTGCTCTCTCTGGCAAATAAATAAATAAAGTCTTAAAAAAAAATAAAAATAAAAAATAAAAAGCTTGGAAACCAATGAGACACAGTGTTGGTTGTACAAATTCCCATTTCCAGGCTAGCCTTAAACTGCCCATGCCTGCCATTAAAAAATATGTATACACACACACACACATATATATATACACATAGTACACTAACTTTCATTTTAGAAAGGACACATTTGACTTTATAAATTTTATTTCTTAAGATTTTAATTAAAATAATTTAAAGAAATACACCACACAGAAATGTTACAGAAATACAAAAAAATTATAGGCAAACAATGGATAATGAGAATTCTTTTTAAAAGAGATACACGATGATAAAAAAAAAGAGAGAGAGATACACAATAGGGAAGAAAAATGAACAATTTTTATATACTATTCATACGTTAATTATAAACCATAGCAGTAAAAGCTTTCCGAACATTGGCAAGAAAGGCCGAGAAATTGTTGGTCTTCCTTACATTCTCTTGAAATTCTGCCAGGCACTCAAGATGAGGAGCACTATCTGACACTAGAAGAAAAAGAAAAAAAAAAAGATAATTTGAATGAGATTTTTTTTATGGAAGAGAAGTGTTTCTAATTTAGATGCTTTCATCTGATTCAAATCATTTCAAGTCCATTTTACTGAAATGCTTTGAGCACAGAACAATAGATACAATTGATTTTCATATCCTAACTATCTTTTGGACCTATTCTTTGTTTAATCTCTAAATATTAAAATCTTAAGTACTACAATCTTACTTTAAAGGTAAACAGATGGTAGTCAAGGGATTGAAGAGCTTAGTGATAAAAGAACAGAATGCTATTTCCCATCATCTTTCTATACATTTTGTTTTCACTAAACTGTTTTAACAGGTGTGTGTGTTGTTTTTTTAAACGGTTAAGTCAGTTTTCTCTGTAAACTTTGGCTTGACTTCTAGTTTCTGGTCACTAGATCAAAAGAGAACAACTTTCAAAGCCAACTTTTAGTAATTTATAATTATGGGGAAAAAATCTTAACTTTTATAAGTTTTCATTAGAAAACGTGACTGCTGTTCTACAAGTGGTAATTATAGGGCTTCCTAATCAAATGAGACACAAAGTCACAAGTAACCGTACGGCTCTCCATGTAGTTGTACAAGACGGTACATCTTGGGACCAAGTCTCCAGGGAGGGTGGTCAAGGGAAAGGAATGATCCAGCTTTCTCTCCCAACAATTTGGTCCTTTGTCCAAGGAGAAGAAATCCGACCATGTCAGCTTTCCAGCTCTCTGGTTGAGACCGCTTAGGAAACAAGGACCATGACCACAAGAGAAAGAATAACAAGGAGCACTTGGTTCAAAATCACACTGTAGATTCTATTTTGATACACTATCAAATACTGTGATACTACGTAGCAAGAGAGAATATACAATTTGGAGAACACTAAAAACCTAGGTATGTGGTTTTTTTTGGGTTTGCTTTTTTTAAAATTTAGCACTCATTAAAAAATATTTACTGAGAGAATATATAAATACAATATACAATAGAAATTCCTACAATAGTAATTCCATGAGAACGAGGACCAAGTCCCCCAGGTCCATTAGGGAGCCAACTCAGCAGCTCTCCTGAGTGTCTATCTGCTATAAATGCTTTAAGATGAGAACACAGGTCTAATGAGCTGAGAACCATTTTCCTCAATTCCAATAAATGAAAAATTACTTTAAAGGGGGCACTAGAAGAATTAAAAAGAAATAAATATATTTCCATTCTCTTCTTGTTCCCCCTATTATCAATCATATATATTCCCCATAAATTGATGACCTTCTGGCCGGCTGGAGAATCAGTAAGTGAGCTAAATTATCAATGTGTGGGATTTTTCAGGAGACAGTAATATTTCTTAAATTGATTTTTGGGAAAATAAATGATCACATTCTGATGACTTAGCATTTGCTTTTAAAATCAACTACTTGCATAAATTATAATATTCATATTTACATAGTTATATCCTTTATAATAGCTTTAAGCTCTCGAAAAGGATAATTCAAACTCGTATAGGAAATGCATTGATCTGTGGTCTTTAACACTTTTCTGCCACTGTGGCACCATGCCATTCTGAAGAAAAGGTACATATTTAGGAACCTACATAAGAACTATAAATCACAACTATACTCACAGGCTTTAGAAGACACTATCCCATGAAGCAAGACTGGCAAAGAAAGCACTACCTTGTAGGAATTACTTTCCTTCCTATTACTTTCTATGTGGAGTCAGATAACATTTGCGGATGCCAATCTTAACTACCAGTTAAGAGATAGGAATACATACCTTCATATTCCTTGGCTTCATTTAGGTGGAGGGAAAACATAAATGGGTTCTCAGGATGCTTAGGGTCAATATTAGTGAATATAAACTGTAATTTATCACCTGAAAAGAGAGATTAGATTATTTGGTATGAAGAGTATTTTATCGTGCCAAGGGTTTCAATGGAGATGAGCTTTCTCACCTCTGTCCTTAATATCTATATGCTAAATACATACATACATATATGTATACTTAACCAAGCCTCCAAATGTACAAGCTACAAATTAGTTTTAAATGAACTCTAAATACGATTTTTAAAAAGCACAACAAAAGAAAATAATTGATACATTGGACTTCATCAAAAAATACAAACTTTTGTCCTTCAAAGGATATTATCAAGAGAGTGAAAAGGATAACCCACAGAATGGGAGAAAATATTTGTAAATCGTATCTCTGACATGGATTTAATATATAGGATATATTTTAAAAAACTACAACTGAACAACTAAAAGAAAAGCAACCCAATTCAAAAATGGACCGAAAGGACTTGAATAGATATTTCTCCAAAGAACAGACACAAATGGTCAATAAGCACATGGGAAGATGCTCAAAACCACTAATCACTGGGGAAACGCAAACCAAACTACAATGAGATATCATTTCACACCTACCAGGACAGCTATAACAAAACAAAACGAAAAAGAAAAGTGTGGATGAAGACGAATGCAAGATGGTGCTGAGGCTGTGGAAAAGTTTGGCAGTGCCTCAAAAAGTTTAAATTAAGAATTACCATAGGACCCAGTGACTCTGTTCCGAGGTACGTACTCAAAAGAACTGAAACTAGGGACTCCTGTAACTTTGCCAACGTTTATAGCCACTTTACTCACGGCAGCCAAAAGGTGGTAATAACCGTGTGTTCACTGATGAATGATCAGATAAACAAAATATGGTATATACACACAATGGAATATTATTTGGTCATAAAAAGGAAGGAACTTCTGATACATGCTACAACATAAATGAACCTTGAAAACATGCTAAGTAAAATAATCTAGATGCAAAAGAACAAATACTATAGGATTCTACTTATATGAAATAGAATAGGTAATTATAGAGACAGGAAGTAGATTAGAGGTTATGAGGGGCTGGGGGGAGGAATAAGAAGTTATTGCTTAATGAGTACATAATTTCTGTTTGTAGTGATGAAAAATTCTGGAAATGTGGTGATGATTGCACTGCATCGTCAATGTAATTAATGTCCCTGAATTGTATGATAAAAATAGATAAAATGGCAAATTCTAGGTCATAGTTTTACCACAATAAAAAAATGTACTACTGAACAGATTTAATTTGACCTTTTCTACACAGTAATCCAGACTTAATGCCTATTTTCCAAAAGACCTCCAAATGCTCCCAAAGGAGTAAATGCCCATTAGAAATTAAAAATGGCAGCCACAAAGTAGAAACTCACATGCATTTTAATTTTGCTCTACAGCATAAAAAATTAGGAAATCTCATTTTAAAAATAGCTTTAATTAGGTCACGGCTTGTGTGGAGTCAGCTCACGGGTCTGGGAGACCCGAAAATTGAGAGCTTCTTCGCACCCCAGCAGCTGCACCCGACAGCTCTGCGGCCGTCACCACGCCACAAAATGAATACATTGAGTTACACCGGAAGAGATATGGTTATCGTTTGGATTACCATGAAAAAAAAAAAGAAAGAAGGTCGAGAGGCTCATGAACGATCAAAGAAGGCAAAAAAGATGATTGGTCTGAAAGCTAAGCTCTACCATAAACAGTGCCATGCTGAGACAATACAAATGAAAAAGACTATCAAGATGCAGGAAAAGAGAAACACCAAAAAAAGGAATGATGAAAAGACTCCACAAGGAGCAGTACCTGGACAGAGAGGGACAGTCCCAAGCTAAAGTACTTTCCAATATGATTAAACAAAAACAAAAAGAGAAAGCGGGAAAATGGGAAGTTCCTTTACCCAAAGTCCGTGCCCAGGGAGAAACAGAAGTATTAAAAGTGATTCGAACACAAAAGAGAAAGAAGCAAGCATGGAAGAGGGTGGTCACTGAAGTCTGCCTTGTCGGAGACGGCTTTACTGGAAAACCACCTAAATATGAAAGATTCATTAGACCAATGGGCTTACGTTTCAAAAAGGCCCATGTAACACACCCTGAACTGAAAGCCACCTTTTGCCTGTCAATACTTGGTGTAAAAAAGAAGCCTTCATCCCCACTATATACAACTTTGGGGGTTACTACCAAAGGTACTGTAACTGAGGTGAACCTGAGTTGGGCCTTGTGACACAAGAAGGCAAAGTTATTTGCGGAAAATATGCCCAGGTTACCAACGGTCCTGAAAATGACGGATGCATAAATGCAGTCCTGCTGGTTTGACAGCAGTTTCAGACAAGAAAATCCTTATAATTACTGAAGACTACACACCGATCAGGGAGACCACCATTTACTGTGGTGGTTCTGAACACTACCAAACAGCCTTACATATCTGCAGTCATCAAGAGAAGGATTTATTCTACTGTGAAAAACATTAAAATAGACATTTTATTAAAATAAAAAAAGTTTTAATTACAAAAAGTAATATTGAAAAACATTTGTCTTACATTTTTATTCAAAATGAAATAATTACATTAGTACAGATTTTTTTAAAAAGATTTATGTATGTATGTACATATGTATGTATGTATGTATGTATGAGAGGGGTGGGGAAGGACAGAGGGAGAGAGAATCTTAAGCAGACACCATGCTGAGTAGAGAGCCTGACACCCATCGCAGGTTGCAGGGTTTGATCTCACAACCCTGAGATCATGACCTAAGCTGAAACCAAGAGTCTGTCACTTAGCTGATTATGCCACCCAGGCGCCCCCAGTACACCAGATTTTTAAAAGTGTTAGTAGTAATGGGAGGGAAACATGCCAAGGAAGAAAGACTTCCTAAGATAATGAAGGTTTTAATTTGGGTTGTCTTCTTTAAAAAACATTTCCTGACTTTGAGGGCTATGAGAAAGTTTTATTTTTAAATCTGAAATAATTGTAAAGCTTTCTGGTTCAAAAGCACCTCAGGATGACATTAAGTCCAATGGATCAAAAATTCAGAGTTGGACCCTGTATTTCCCTCTAATCGAAAGGTTATTTTTTATTAAAAGCTTATTCCAACAGATGGAGGGGTGGGGCAGAAACAAGACTAACAGATATATGAATGAAGAGCCCAGACAATCAAAGAAATATAATTAAATATACAGAAAAAAAGTTTACCTTTTCATCAAAGAAATGCACTTAAAAATAAATGCTCCAATTATATCTAATCAACTGCCAAAAAAAACCAAACACAAACAAACTTAAAAAACTACCATTTTTGCAAGAAAACAATGAAATGGATACTCTTTACATTGTAGAGAGGTGTGCACAAAAGAATTAATATGGCAGGCCTGACGCTGCTATCATTAAGAATTTTAGAAAGGTCTCCTTGCAAGTTCGTCGTTGGCTGGTGTTGGGGCCCCCCAAAACACCCCAGATTTGAAGAGTCACAAGGAGGACTCACAGGACTCCCCATAGGGTCATACTCAGGGCTATGATTTATTACAGAGAAAGGCTACGGCAAAATCAGCAAATGGAAAAAACACATGGGGTGAAGTCCAGAGAAAACCACCACAAGCTGCAAGAGTCTCTGATGAGCTTCAACGGTAGACAACACTTCACACGTATTGTCACATTCAGTGCTAAGGGAATTAAGCACATCCTGTGTGACTCTGCTGGATTAAGACTCTTAAAAAATTATGTCTAAAAAAGTGTTTCTTTTAGACTTTACCCCAGTGCTTTTGGGCTGATTTTGTTTTGTATCCTCTCTGCAATAAACCTGAGCCATGAATATGACTATATGCAGAGTCCTGTAAGTCTTTCCAGGGAATCACCAAACCTGACGGTGATCTTGGGGACTGATAACACAAAGAATATTGATATAAATTGGCACATATACTACACATAACGCCATTAAAATATTTACATGCTTTAACCCAGTAATGCCTCTCTGGGAATTCCATGGAAATTATGCAAAAGAAATGGAGAAGTCTATATTCACTGTAGCACTTCTAAAACTGAACCACAGGCAGAATCCAAAGGTTAAGTTAGAAACAAACCTGTATTAAATGATAGATAAAAGATTGGATAAATTAAGATACATTAATGGAATGAATTATTACACTACCATTTTAAAACTACCATAGGAAGGCGACAGCAACTGGAAAAATGCTAATCATACAATGCCAGTAAGAACAAGGAAAAAAATTATGTTCGTGGTGGCAGTCATGCCAAAAATACATTTATTAAAATACCGGATGATAAATAACCAAGGCAGCAGTAATTATGTTTGGATGATAAAAATGTTTAAATTCTTTCCTATTTTCTAAAAAGTTAATGATGTTGTCATTATTTTCTTTGAAAACATTTTTTAAATTCGCTACTTAAGATATGCCTTTCTAATCTTGTATGTTTTACTTACGTTAATATACATACCATAAATTTTTCGAATTTCTAGTCCAAGTCGATCTTTATATAAGTCTGCAGATTTCTGTAGTCTTTTCAACCTCTCTTCATTAGCTCTGTTAGCAGCAGAAATAGCTATGATTTTTAAAAAAATACACATATTTGAATATGAAATTTTTTTAGACAAAGAGACTTCACAGCATAAAAAATGTGCTTAATAGTTCCTGGCAGAGAATGTGTGATCAATAACTCTATTGCATAAATTATACTATGGCTTCTCCAGACAAATCTTTAGTGAAACTGTCTCCCACTCTGCTTAATTAAGCTGCCATATCAATTGCACTATGACTCTGGTTATATTAGAAATCAAAAGGACCTTTAAGTGAAACAAGAGAACATACAGCCCACTTAGCTAACTTCACACAGCTTCCTTGCAGAACTGAGTGGCTGGCTATGCCCCTGAGGTATGTCATCCATTTTTAGTAATGAACTGGAGAGAAGGCAAGAGATACAGAATTGTGAACCATCACCACTTTGAAATTTAGGTTAATGTTTTAAATATGTGTATAACTGGAAACTTACTTTCCTTCTTCTTAGCGTATTCTTCCTTAAGATCCTGAATATTTGCAGTCAGTACTTCCAGCTCCTGCTTTTTGTCTTTTATTTCAGCAATCAACCTTAACAAGTTATCTTTTTTTTCTTGAATGAGGTTATTCTGCCTACAGATCTCTGTAAGAAACACAAAGTGTTAGCTAGAATATATATACTTTGCTCTCCAACATCTATCACAGATAAGAAATATTGACTTTCATAAGATCAATAATGTTTTAATTGGTAAGTGCTTCCTAATGGTTCAAAAATTATAAAGAACAAAAAGAAAAAAAATCCTATTCTTTTCTATTTGCATTTGAAAATAAAAGACCCTTGCAGCTCTACTCTTCAAATAAGTACATAAATAAAGCTCACCATCAAAGACAACCAAAATCTGGACAATATTTTTACTCAGTGCTTTAAAGAAACAGTTCATTCTAATGCTATATTAATGATTCTGGAAGATACTAAAAAAAAAACAGAAAGAAGTGAAGGAAGAGAGGAAGGGAGACAGGTAGGAAGGATGAAACCTCATTTACATTTGTAATAAACAAAACATCTAGGAATAATCTAGACCAAGAAATATGTAGGCCCTATATGAAAAAAAGGGCAAAACCTGTCTGAGACATGTATTTGATTTGACCTGGATGTATGGAAAGACATTTTATGCTTCTAAATATTATAAAGATGTCACTATTTCCCAAATTCATTTCTATATTAATGCAGTCCCAATGGAATTTGAGGGAAGGGAAGGGGAAGACCTAAAAAAGTAACTATAAAATTTATCTGACGAATACACAGGTGAGAATAGTTAAGGAAATACAGTAAGAAAAATAATGAGGAAAGGGACTTGTCCTATTAAATTTAACATCTGTGATTGTGACACTTTTAATACAATAGTGGGGTACCAGCTGAAGAAATGACATACAGTTCAGTTAAACAAAAACGGCATTTCCAAACAAACATTGCTATATTTAGGAAATTAATATGAAAAATGAAATATGAAAACAAGTGGTAGATGGTTCCCCAAACCATACTGAAATCCAAAATAAATTCCATATTTATTAAATATTTAAATGTAAAATGAAATCTTGCAAAACCTAAAAGGCAGTATCTGAATATAAAATTAGTTCTACGGGGAAAGATCTTTTTACTCAAAGGCAAAAAGAAATCAAAGAGAAAAACATATACCAGCTACATAAAAGTTAGTAAGTAGGCGAAAAGCCTCACATTTGATTCAAATAAGCATTAAACTCTACTATATGCTAGGAACTTTGTTCAACACCGTCTATTTCTGTAAACTTACTTAAATTTCACTATAACACATTTTGTAGATCTAATTTAAAGGAGGAAAAAGGCTCAGCAGATGACTAATGTACCCAAAGCTTTATTTGCTACGATGCAATAAATAGAAGACCTGGATTCAAACTCAGGATTTGACTTCAAAGACCATGCTTTTGAGCATTAAATATTCTCCCCCAACTGTTTGTTTATTTATTTATTTATTTATTTGACACAGAGAGAGAGAGAGCACAAGCAGGGGGAGCAGCAGACAGAGGGAGAGGGAGAAGCAGGCTCCTTGCTGAGCAGGGAGCCCGACTCAGGGCTGATCCCAGGACCCTGAGATCATGACCTAAGCCAAAGGCAGCCACTTAACTGACTGAGCCACCCAGGTGCCCCTCCCCTGACTGTTCTTAATCTAAAGAAGACACAAATATAAATTCCTAAGACAAAAACAGACAAAGGAATAAACAAAGGAAATGTAGACTGCAGATGGTTAATAAATATGAAAGACAATTTAACCCAAGTAGTAATCACAGAAATGCAAATAAAGCAGTAACATACCAATTTTAATTTAGTACAATGTTTACAAAAATAATAGCTAGCAGTTGAGAAGAAGGCAAAATACTAAGAGTTTTTTTTTTTTTAAGATTTTATTTATTTATTTGACAGAGCGAGACAGCGAGAGAGGGAATGCAAGCAGGGGGAGTGGCAGAGGGAGAAGCAGGCCTTCCCGCCGAGCAGGGAGCCCAATGCGGGGATTGATCCCAGGACCCTGGGATCATGACCTGAGCCAAAGGCAGACACTTAACGACTGAGCCACCCAGGCGCCCCCTGAGCCACCCAGGCGCCCCCTGAGCCACCCAGGCGCCCCAATACTAAGAGTTCTTATGGCATATCTTTGACATTGCAAAACAAGTCTTAAGGATATTCAAATCATGTCCTTTGATTAGTTATTCCATTTCTACAAGTTACTTTAAGAAAACAAGATGTGTGCAAGTACTTATATACAAAAGATTATTTTCAGTATTATTTATAATGGTGAAAAACTGAAAATATCCTAAATGGCTCATGGGTAAATTATTAAATACAGTATATCAGTAAGGCAGAATATTTTTTCAAAGAATTTAGCAATATGGAAAAATACTCTAAAAAAAAAAGTTATATAGATACCATGAACAAAATTGTCAGAAATATTACATAGCACATGAAAAAGAAAAAAGAACATAACTTTGTTAAATATGATTCTCAACATTTCAGATAATTTGTTTACTTTTCTGTATTTTCCAAGAATTTGGGCATGATCATATATTGTCAAGTATAATTTAAAAATAGACATTTTATCAGAATTAACAAAGAAAAATGCTTTAAAAAAAAATTCAATTTAAACCCAAACCAAAGCCAAAAACAGTTCAGCCATTTCTTCTCCCAAACCCTGCTCTGGCAACCACCAATCTGTTATCTATGAGTTTGCTTTTTTGTTTTAAAAAAAAGTTTTTTTTTGGATTCCACACATATCATATAGTATTTGTCTCTCTGCCTGACTTATTTCACTTAGCATAATGCCCTCGGGGCCCATCTGTGTCACAAATGTCAACATTTCATTCCTTTCATGGCTTTATTCTATCATATATATATATATATATAGTATACACACACACACACACACACACACCACAACCACTTTATCCACTCATCCATCTATGAACACGTAGGTTGTTCCCTTAACTTGGCTATTGTAAATAATAAACACCGGGGTGCAGATATCTTTTCGAGTTAGTTTTCGTTTTCCTCTAATAAACAGCCATAGTGGGGATCACATGGTAGTTCTATTTTTAATTTTCTGAGGAACCCCCATACTATTTTCCAGAGTGGCTGCTACAGAAAAATGCTACTTTAAAAAAAGATAAGTATGTTGTATGACAAAAAAGATGCATATTTAAAGTCCAAAGGTCTTGGTTCCATTCTGGGTCCTCAGTTGTCACCCAAGGACCTTGGTCAAATTACAACTTCGGCAACGCTTATAAAACAAGGATAATAATGGCTGCTCCATTTATTTACTTCACAGGGCTAGAGTCTCCAATAATAATAATATGGAAACTTCTAAACTATTAAGGATACATAAATACCACACATGTCAGTGTATTTATTATAATATTTAAAGAACTGTATGAGGGCACCTGGGTGGCACAGTCAGTTGGGTGTCTGACTCTTGATTTTGGCTTGGGTCGTGATCCCAGGGTTGTGGGATCAAGCACATTGGCCCTGTGCTCAGCCCAGAGTCGGTTTGTGATTCTCTTCCTCTGCCCATCCCCCCCCCCCCCTGCTCTCTCAAATAAATAAATAAAAAAATAAATCTTTAAAAAAAAAAAAAAGTTCTGGAACCTTTCAGAAAGAAAAGAGAAGAAAGAAAAGAAAAGAGAAGAAAAGAAAAGAGAAGAAAGAATGAACTGTATGGATTTGTGCCAATACAAATGTAAGGGCCCTTGATGTTGCATAACTATTATTTTATGTGTACACAGTCAGCCATCTCTTTTATTCTCTAGGGCAGGTATTTCAAACTTTCACTACCACTCACCACACAAACCCTCCCTTGAATTTTCCTTCCATGTGGAAAGGTTGTTTTATGGTACACTGGATCAAATGTATGACCTTAGCTAAGTTTCTTAACCTCAGTGAGCTTCAAATTTCTGTCTTGTAAAGATTTCAGGATTTAAGAGCCTGGTCCATAGTAAATGCCTCTCACTTTGAACAGAGGATCTCCCTCCTCTCGATAAATAGAACAGATGTTCCAGGTGGGCCAGAATTTTTGGCTAATTTGTTCTCTGCAGTATCTTTCTAGAAGGGTACCTGCACAGAGTAGCTGCTCAACAAATACGTGGTAAGTTCCCTCAAGCTTGCCGACTCCCCAAATGTATCTATATCAGTATCCTCTCCTGACAGAGTACCAGTGGCTCCTTCTCCAATCCATGGTTAATCCAGATTCCCTCCCCTCTATTCTACTACTCATTGTCCCCTGACCCCTTTTTCAACATCTGTTTCTCCACTGACTTCTTTCCTGCAGCAAATAAACATGCTCATTTTAGGGTAGACACCTTAATAATGAAAAAAATTCTGTGCTCACTCAGCCCATTCCATTATCACAGCAATTATTACAATGTATTTTAATTGTGGATTCCTTGTGTATTCCACTAAATTGTAAGCAGTATGCAGACATTATACTTTGTGCACTGTTTGTGCTAGGCAACTATCAATCAAATATTCACTGAATTAATTGAACAGGTAAATTATATTTCTGTTCAAGCATAAACTGATTTTTTAAAGAAAAACAATTGATAATGTTTTTAGTTTTTAGACTATTTAGAGCATATTTTCACTATAGGTCATCTTTAAGAGCACACTGAGACTCAGAGTAGCAAAAATTGATAGTTTCAAACTTATGTTTCTAATCCCCAGCAATTCTACAAACCAAGAATGTTTACACACACACACACACACACACACACACACATACACACAAGTGGTTTTCCTTTCTGCTTGTGGTTACAGAAGAAATGAAAACAATAAAAGGGCAAGGAAGCTTCAGGGCAGCTCAGACAGTAAATACGGGTAAAAGGCTAGCATAATAGCCTACCAGGGCTCCAAAATCGAACGCCTTTAGGGGCCAAATAATAAGTAAAGTGGGCAAAACAAAGCCAAAGAAATTACTGGGGACTGTAGCAAATTCAAGGACACATGTTCCATCTAAAGACATTCCATTAATAGTGTTTAAAACATGGTGCCATGAAATTTAGCCTGTGGCCTCTGGCCACAAGTCTGTGATCTGTGTGATCTGTGTATAAGAATTCAATAAAACCTACATATACACCGTGGAAACTCCAGAGTGGTATAAACGAGAGGGCAAGAATAACAGGAAAAATATGGAGAAAACAGTCAAGAGTACTAACCCTACCCCCAAAGAACTGAGGAACTCCAGCTTTTCAACCCCCAGCCTATGATTTCCAATGAGAAAAACTCATTTTTCAAATAACTGGCATTTACACACCAGCACAAATGAATCTCACAAGCATACTGATGAATAAAAAAAGGGACAGAATATACACAAAGTGATGCCATTTATATAACATTCAAAAACACAATACTAAATACTAAGAGGTTAGTTCTGGAAGGTGGGAGAAGAGAAAAGTATACATGGGATGTTCTATTTCTCAAGCTGGGTTGTAGGTACACAAATGTTTATTAGTTTTATACGTATGTGTATATATATATATATATATATACACACACACAATACATTGTTTTATTTGTATGAGGGATGGCCTAAAGATGTTCAATCTAAAAAAACTGTGATTTACAGTTTGTCACCTACGATTTTGATATTCCAGAAACATCTCAACCATTCGTTCTTCTTCCTTTAATTTCACGGACAGCTTTTCTGAAAGAGAAATTGGAATTGAAGTTTTAATTCAGCTGAAATAACGTAAAAAGCAAGAACAACAAAACAGCATGTTACAAGTTAACTTCAGTTACCTCCACATGCTTTGATGGAGTCTTTGTAGGTGTCTCTTAGCCCCACCATCCCACAGGAAGTGTCACTGACAGTGCTTTTGAATTTATTCCAAAATTCATTTATGCTTTTATCAAACAGTGCAAGTTCGTCCTCTATCATTTTGGAAGAAAATGCTACAAAACAAATAGAACATTATATTTCTTATGAGTCATTAAAATCAAATCAGGCTCATATTCCAATCAAGCATATTTTGGCAGTGTGACCTTTGCTAGAAAATAGCAGCTTACTTTTAACTCTAGATACTCCAAGGCAGATCAAGCCACCTGGACTTAACCACCGTTAAGATGCAAGATTCCAGGAAAGACATCTTTATCTCCGAGGGACTTGTCAGTAGTGTAACTGCACAAGACACTCACACAGCTCTATGACCTTGGGAAAAAGATTCTGACTCCGTTTTCTCACAAGTAAAATTGGTAACTTATAAGGCGTTTCCAACTCTGACCATGTGAATTCTCGCCTGCATTGCCAGGTCCCAGATGGATGGCCCCCTCTCATAGGATAAAACCCCACATCTAGCCTGTCTCTCCCTCCCACTAAGATCAGGAAAAGTAGCACTAAACAGGCGACTGGAGTGGGAATTTAGTGAGCTTAGTCCAGGAAAGGTACAAGTCACCTGCACTCTCTGGGTCTTGGTGTCCTCTTCTGTAAAGCAATGTCCGGTAAGACTGCAGGCTCCACCAGTTTTCTGTAACGCTAAAACCATCCCAAAAACCTAAAACCTTACCAGGAGGGCCACAGAACTCTCGTTCGCTGAAACCCGGAACCTTTCAGCCTCACCGCCGCCCACCCCGACGTGCAAACAACAAGCCGTGCATTTCAGACCTCGTTCCCGAAAATAAGTCCCGCCCGGAAACCCACTTTTCCTTATCGCCACAGGCGGATCGGGGAGCCCTGGTGAGTTCCCACCTCCCTCACCTTCTCCAGGAGGCCTGAGCCCCGCCACCTACCCACAAAAGACCCACAAAAGACCTGAGCCAATTCGAGCCAAAACTGGGTCTCCAGAAGCAGGTCCCGAAGCCGCGCCGACTTTCCTATTTCAAATCTAAGGGCGCCTTGCTCCTCCCGCCCTCGGGCGTCCATTCGCCTTCGGATTGGCTGATAGCTAGACTCCTCATGAAGGGATTGGCTGATCTAGCCCTCCGGGATTCTCGCGAGAAAAAATAGGGGAAAGTGCATTCTGGGATTTGTGGTTTTTTCTGAGACAGTCAGCCTCTCAGCTCTGCTTCTAAAATACTAATTAATAGCTCCAGAGGGACTCGCCCCAGCCCAAGACATTCATCAGTTTCAAATAAAGGCTTCTGCAACAAATATAAATATTGAACTTTAATCGCATTCTGTTGCCAAGTATATTCCCTCTTCTTTAATACTCCCTGTGTCTTAAAGTTAATTAAAAAAAAATAAAGCTAATAAAAATACCATTGCTTAATCTGTGTCATCATTTAATAACTTTTCATTGGGAAGTGGTTGGAACATTCCTGTCTACTGGCTTCTAATATGAACATTTCCAAAATTTCCAAAACATGTGAAACAGAAACAAAGCACAATACCTAATACTGGTATTTCTTGCCCCAGCAGAAACTCAATGACACAAAACTTTTCATGGACAAGTTTCTTGGTACCCACCCTCTCTGATAGTCTGTGTTGCTGATAAAAGTGAAAAGAGGCGGGGAAGCCAGAAGTAATTCAAGGTTTTCAACTCTGATATCTGTAAGAATGGTGATGCTATTGGTGGGATGGAAATCATCTTCATGGTTGTTTGGTGTGCTGGGGGAAGGGTGATGCAGAGAGGTGAGGCAGGAGAGGAAATTGTTGGGAGATCCAAGTGTTAATATCCTGTAGGCATGTTACTTCTTTAGTCAATTCAACAGTGGCTAACTGCTCCAACTCTGCAGTAAGACTGCCTGAGTTTGAAATCCAGGCTCCATCATTTACTAAGTTTTATGTTGGGCAAGTTACTTGGCCTATTGGACCTCAGTTTCCTCATCTGTAAAGTGAGGGTAACAATAATAATACCTTCTTCTTTCGTATACCCAATGTGAAGACTGAAAGAGATTATAAATGTAAATGCCTTAGAAGAGGTCCCTATAAGTACTCAAAATGGTTTCTTGTTTTCATGATTTTATACCCTACCTACTTCCTGTGCAATAGACTGTCATATTAAAACACATATAATTAAGACTTTAAATAGAACAAAATCTAAGTTGGCCAAGAATAAGAGAAATTATTGCAATTGAATACTCACTTTAGCCAAGGCAAAGCATATTGCTCCCATTACAAGACAATCATACTACTTGTTGAATTTTGATCTTAAGGAAACATGCATTCTGCTATGTCTGGATAAGTATAGAATATATTCCTTCCACCCAATCCAAGTTGAATTAATTAGTTAGGTGTGGTTATTTAGCATTCACCATTTAAGAATTTGCCAATATCTCACAAATATAACAATTTTAGTTTCAACATATAGATACTAAATTTCAAACAATAGTCTGAAAACAGTTTCAGTAACTTCTTTAGGCCATTACTAGTTCAAGATAATAAATTATTTCCCCAGCTTGAAATAATGCTTGGACCATCTCTCTAATGCATTCCTGATAGAATCTGGCAAAGCATGACCGATCTATGAGCAAAATGGAAAAAAAAAAGAGTTTATTAGCAAGGCTTTGAGATATTCACCACTGACACAAGGCTACAACTATATCTCTTAGACTAAGGTGAACATCTTGCAGCTGACTCATTTTTCTGCCTTCTTTAGTGGATTATTCTTGCTAAGTTGACTCCAATTATTAGTGGGCAGAAACATCCAGATGGTCCTCAGAATCGATTCTTGTGGTGTACAGAAGATCTCTTCTTTTCTACTCTTCCAGCTTTTCTGACACTATTTTGGGGGGCCTATAGAACATTGCTATCTTGCAGAATTTCAAACGGGAAGGAACTAGAACTCCATTAAAATCATCTGAGGACCAGAAAGAGGCACAAGCTATTCAACTTGAATTTCCCAAAGGATGGACAAGATGCAGGGATACTGGTCAGGAACTCCAAGTAAATGAAATTGATTCACTATTTGCATCCTTCTTGATAAAGCTGAGGAGGAAAGAAAAATAGGAAAAGAACACAGAGGATATACACTTTAAAGAATGGAAAATATATATGGCTTGTACGATGGAGTTAAAATTATTATTTTCATCTCTGACCATGGCATGTTTGTGAAAATAAACCCTTGATTATAGGTCAAAAAGTCTTTACTACTATTTTCTTTCATTATTGTTAAGGATTCAAACACCAACAATAAAACATATGTGTAAATAACATGCTCAGGGGTACCTGGTATTGGGTACTCTATCCTAAGAGCTAATTCAGACCAACAAAATCAGGACAAATTATTACCAACATTTAACACATCACAACATGAGTCAGATTCCAGCCAAGAGACTGTTATTAATAAGCTTAGACATATAGTTTGCTGTAATATCTCCTTTCATTTCACAGATATTTATTCAAGGACTTCTGATTTCTGATAATATTTATCTTAAAGCAAAATTGTATCTATTGGCATCTCAGAACTTGAGCTGAATGAATAATGATGCTTGTTTCTAAGGTTTTCACTGGTCCAGGCTAGTGAATACAGTACTTAACAAGACTCATGGAGGGGTGCTGACTGGACCACCAGCTTGATGAATTACTTACTGGACCTTGGACTGGGGCAAGTGGTTGTCCCACTGATGTGCAGACTTTAGGGCAGCCCCTGGGTGTCCACTCTCTTTTATTCTTTCTCAGAGCTCATCCCCAACCAAGGAGTGAGGGAGAAACTTCTGTGTCATTTGTCAAAATGATCCTCTCTAGAAGAAAATGTGAATGGTTTCTCTCTATTCCACCAAATGTAGGTAGAAACAACCAGCTTTTCTTTCTGTTCAGCACAGCTTCCTTGGCTTTAAAAAGGAAAAAGCAGAAGCTCCCCTATCACAACTCCATACAACACCACCATCATCACTATCATCATACATACCTGCCTTTCATTTCAACCGAGCCAGGAGTTTGGGGATATCTATTATGTGCCATGTGCTGAGAGGGGCACTTTATTCTCTGGGATATATATGGTCTGTAACCCAGGTCAGGGGAGGGGGTAGTAGGAAGTAGGTATGTATTTCCAGTCTGGGAGCTTCTGGGCCATGGTTACAGGAGCCTTGGTCAGACTGACTGAAACTCCATTGCTCCTTCTCTGGAAACTTGATTCTTTCTCCAATGGGTGAAGGATCATGGGGTACAAGAAGAAAGGTCATTGTCCTCTATGGCACATACCCTTGCTGAGTAGATACCTTTAATCTTGGGGCAGAACTCAGGATTAAAATGATAAAAGCAATGCCATGGTTAAGATTAAAAGTTTTCCACTTTTCTGGATATAAGGATCCCTTTATGACATATACATTTATACGGAACTCCCCAAATGCTAGCTAGTACTTGTACTTTCAATATCTGTTCACTGAGAAAATTAAAAATGATAAAGAGTTACTATGAATTCAGAAGAGAGGAAAGCTCTTTGGGCAGATTCCAGGTTAAGAACAAGTAATAGAAAATGCCTGTGTTCAAAAGACTCTTGAACAAAAACTTTAAATTCTCTAGATCTCTGCATGGCCTATGTCAGGAGTCATTAGAAAAGATGATTCAAGAAAATGTCTCTTATGATAATTGCTATGATCAAAGCACAGTATATCCAAAGTGAAGTCAACTTTTAGTGCCAGATTTTACCTGGAGCCTTTCATTTCCTCCCTAAAATTTAAAAAAGGGCTAGGACCTCTAGCATGGTGGGGTGAAGAAGTCACCAAATCCTTTCCCCAAAAAAGCAACTATAAAACTGGACAAAATTATAAAAAAACAACCATTTCAGTGTCCTGGAAATAACCCAAAAGCTTACAGCAAACTAAGACGCATTTATTCCTGAAAAAAATACTAAAAAACATAATTATTTTGAGTATTAAAAACACTCAAAAACATTATTAAGTCAGAGACAGAAGGCTACATATTATATAACTCCCATTGCATAAAATGTCCTTTGCGTAAAATACCCTTTGCATAAAATATCCAGATAAGGCAAATCCACAGAGACATTTCAGTCTTTGCTTAGAGCTGGGAGTGGAAGCAAACATTAACTGCATGAGGGCACAAGGGAACATTCCACAGTGATGGAGACATTCTAAACTTGTTTGTGGTGATGGTTGCACAACTCCATAAATTTACTAGAAATAACTGAATTGTACATTTACAATGGTGAACTTTATGATATATAAATTATCCCTCAAATTGCTCATTTATACCTCAAAATCATTAAAATAAAAAATATGAAGGACATCAACACTTCAAAGAAAAGAAAGTGTACATTTTCCAAACATACAAAAGACATTCTATAAAGTAATAAAGATCCTGATGTACAGTAAAGTTTGAGAATACCTACAGTAGGTATTCTTTGGGCCATCTATAAAAAGGAACCCAGGTGCAAAGTGTCTTAACTGTACTATGAAGAAAAAGAATAGTATTGCCCAATGGGCTGCTCTGTTGGGTCCTTTGGTGATCCAAGGAAAAGTTTATGAATGTATAGTTCATGACCATTTGTAGAGAAGAATAAATAATGAGACAAGTGGAGGGGTTACCTAGAAAATCAAAAGCCAGGTCACTTATAACAGTGTCATCATGGAATGCCAGTATTCCCGGAATCCTAACCGGAATGGAAGTAATTCTTTTCTGAAAGTCACTACGGTCTCAACTCAGTCTGAAATAAATCCATTTTACATTACAGGGTGCCACTGGAGACATTTCAAATACAATTATTTGACAGCAGGCAGATAAGCTTGTAGTAAAATGTTAATGACCACGCACAAAGACATAAAGGTCAATGCCTCCAAAATACGCTTTTGTTTACTACCACTGCACCAGTGACACAAGCTAAAGTCAAATATCTCTGAATGATGTTGAATTGCAAAGAGCACTATACCTCAGAGATGAATGGTTCATCTCATGATAAGAATATATCTTGTGGCTATA